AAATATGTCAGAGTGGTGGTACAAACCGTTACACGTTCAATTACTAACCAAAAGATTGGAGGTTTGAATCCACTCAGAGATGCCTCAGAAGAAAGGGCCTGATGGTCTGCTTCCAAAAAAATCACAGCCATTGGAAACTCTAAATACATGGGGTTGCCATGAATCAGAATTGACTACAGGAACTACTTTGGTTTGGTTTTACTGTGTACATGTGAGATGCTAAGCGTATTAACGAAGATTATTTGGGCACAGACCTTGCTCTCAAGGAGCTTGCAGTCCCATGGGGAGAGCATAGAGAGAGAAAGAGGCATATAAGTAACGAAATAATGAGCACCATGTGAGAGGCTGGTAATTGTTTTGGAAATTCAGAGGAGTGAGCTCCTGTAGCCAGAAGGATCAAGAAAGGCTTATGAAAGAGATGGCTTATTTAGGTGGAGCTCAGAGGACAGGAAAGATTTGATCCGTTGAAGATGGAAGAAGAACATAGAACACTTGTGCAAGAGTCATAGACTTGGTCTAGAGCTGTGCTGTCCAATAGAAATATAATGTCAGCCACAGGTCATTTAAAATTTTCTAGTAAACATTTAAAATTAAGTAAAAACAAACAGGCAAAATTCATCTCCTAGTTAATAATATACTTGACTTAACTCAAAATCAAACCCAACCTACTGCCACTGAGTTGATTTTGACTCAGAGTGACCCTATAGGACAGGGTAGAACTGCCCCGTAGGGTTTCCAAGGATGTACATCTTTACAGAAGCAGATGCCACATCTTTCACTGATGGAATGGCTGGTGGGTTCCAACTGCTGCCGTTTCAGTTGGTAGCTGAGCACTTAACCACTCCAGCACCATGCCTCCTTGATTTAATCCAGTATATCCAAAAATCATCACTTGAACATGTTTGTTGTTGGTTACAGTCCAGTTGATTCTCACTCATGGGGACCCATGTGAACATGTAGTCAATACATTAAATTACTGAGATACTTTACATTGATTTTATATGCCAGTTTTCAAAATTCAGTGTGTCTTTTACATTGATAGCATATTTCATTTTGAAATATCCATTCTTAAAGTGTTCAGATGCCACCAAAGGAAAAAAAGAAACAAACTCACTGCCATCATAGTGATTACGACTCACAGAGACCTATAGACTCTTCACAGGAGTAGATTGCCCATCTTTCTTCCAAGGAGAAGATGGTGGGTCTGAACCACTGACCTTCTGGTTAGTAGGCTCATGTACTATGACACCAGAGCTACTGGTCACAAAATGGGACAGCTAGGTCTAGAGTGGGATCTCTGGTGGCGTAGTACCTAAGGCATTTGACTGCTAACCAGAAGGCTGGCAGTTCAAACCCACCAGCCACTCTTTGGAAGGAAGATTGAGCAATCTACTTCCCTAAAGATACGCCTCAGAAACCCACGGAGGGGTCACTATGAGTTGCATTCGATGGCAGTGTTTTTTTTTTTTGTTTGTTTGTTTGTTTGTTTTAGGTGTAGAGTATACAGGATATAAGGCAGATAGTGAGAAATACCTTTGGGAAGGTAGGAAATACATGCTCTTCTGATGCCAATTACCACATTCTCCTGAGAGTGCTATTAAGGAGTGGCCCAAAGCACAGTGCTTATAATTCCTTATATTTGATTAGTACTTTAGAGAGGAGAGAGTAGACACTTTCACCGACACCGCCCGTTTGATCTTCATAACCATCTATGATGTAGGCTGGGCAAATATTTTTGCCCCAGCCAACAAGTGGGAAACTAAGGCCAAGGAAGTTTCAGTGACTTACCTAGGGTTGCAGGCTCATAAATGAAAGAGTAATAACTCATTTGTTACTTTCTTCAGAGAACAGAAAGAGACTTGCCCTGAAATCATCAGTTAATTTTCCTGACATTTTTGGATAAACCAAAAAACCCAAACCCATTGCTATCAAGTGGATTCTGATTCACAGCAACCCTATAGGACAGAATAGAATGGCCCCATGAGGTTTCTAAGGCTGTCCATGGAGCAAGTGGTAGGTTTGAACCATTGACTTTTTGGTTAGCAGCTGAGTGCTTTAACAACTGTGCACCAGGGCTCTTATTTTTGAATAAGGAGATCTAACATAGTGCCTAAGGCATTTGACTGCTAACCAGAAGGCTAGCGGTTCAAACCCACCAGCCGCTCCTTGGAAGGAAGATTGGGCAATCTGCTTCCGTAGTGATACTGCCTCGGCAACCCAAGGAGGGGTCGCTGTGAGTCGGGTCTGACTCGTGGCACCTAACAACAACAACATTGTTATAGTATCTTATGTCATAGAATTAGGGAGAGATGCAAGGTCATATGGCCAAGCCTCTGCTTTCTCACCAGATAATACCCCCATTTTGCATTGGGTTAGTATTTAGGGGAGAGCAGGCACTTATACCCACATTACCCATTTGATCTTCATGACCAATTCATGACCAAGAAAGGCTGGGCAAATATTTTAGCCCCCTCTGATGAGTGGGAAACGGAGAAATCTTGTTACCCCCTCCATTCCCGAGGGAGGACCGGACCTCTGCCCCCAGGAGGAGTTGGGCTGCATGTCTCTGGAGACCTGACTCATGTTGGAGAGACTGGAAGTGGAACCAGTGGCAGGGTCTCTAAGGAAGCTGATGTGTATACTTGCGTGTGAGGTGGTGGGCAGGCTTTCCAGGGAAAAAATGGTTGAGTAGTAGTGGAAGCTGCTTATCTAGTACATTTAAAGCCAAGCTCAATCATCTAAAGATGATACCAGCCCTTCCTGTCAGATACTAAAAATCCATCCATTATTCTGATGGTTCCTGAGCACTAAGTTTCTTTTAACCTGGAGTACCATTCTGGGTCATGTGCTTGCACAGTTCAGTCTACCTTTGGGATTTAATGAGAAGGCGGGGTGTGGTTTAGAGATGTCCTACAGCAAGCCTCACTTCTACTCCAGGCTTGATTGAGCTTGAGCCCCACCCCATGTCCTAGATGGTGTTTCCAAGGTTCTTTATTTTGTTCAAAGGAATTGAGAATTGAGACACTCGTTCCAAGAGTTACCCCTTTTTTCTCTCTTGTCTTCCCAATTTCTTAATGGCATGGGGCTGCCCTTTGGGGAAAAATGAGTTTGAGTCAGATAGGGCCAGGTTTGATGAATCCCTTATTTGTTTTCTCACACTTTAGCCACCTGAAAACCTGGGTGATGAGCCCTGATACTGTTGCTTATGAACTGCATGACCTCGGACTGTATGCTTAACACCTCTGGTTCAATGTTTCAGCATTGCTTAAAGGGTAATAATAATTTCTATGCCACATAAATATGTGGGGGAGAATAAATGAAATTTTATACTCATAAATAGTGCCTAATGTATACTTGGTACATAGTGAGTATTCAGTAAATAAGAATTCCATTCTGCCTCTTCTAGTCTTTTTCCTAAATTTAGCAAAATGAAAGAAAAATGTTTATTTCTCCTTTAATTTGAAAACATTAAAAACATTTTTTAAGCCTTCACAGGGAACTAGTGACTGCATGTGTACTCTTACTAGTGACCACATGTGAATGAAGCCAAGAATCCAGGGGGTTTGCTGCCAGCCGGGATCGACTTACTCACAAGGTGCCCAGCCTGGCTAAGGGGGAGGCAGGGCTGATGTACCACATTAGGCCATGTTCCGGGGAAGTAGATTCTGTGAATAACTCAGATGGTTCCCTAGAGCATTTAGGACAGAAGCCACCTGGAAGACAGAGATGGTTACCCCACATTTCCCACATAATACCCGAAGGTCTGGCACGTGGTAAATGTTTAGCAGCAATGATCTGTTGTTTAAGAACCTGGGGAGTTGTAAATTTTACCACTCCAGACCCCTGAATAAGGTAAAGAGCTGGAGAGTCTATGCTTTTAACTGGGGCTGGCATGAGCCATCTTTGAGTCAGCCCTTGCAAAAGCCCTTGACTCTTTAAGTAGGCCACCACCCCACCACCCCCACTTCCTGGACTCATTTCTGCCCAACATCAGCTGTCACCTTTCAGCATCACGGAGAACTGAATCCACCTCATGGTTCCACACCCTGAGGCTTGTTTAAGTGGATAGTGAGGGTAGTGGTCCATCTGTTGAGAGGGTGATAGAACTAAAGATTTTGTAATTCATACAGTTGTAGAGGTAAAAAGAACCTTGAAGAGCATTTGTTTCAACTTCCTCACATCACTGGTCCAGAGAAGTTCACCATCTTATTTGAATCATGTAGCTACTTGAATCCAAACTAAAGCTAGAACCAAGGCATCTCATTTCTTGGCCCTTGGCTCTTTCGACAATTCTGTAGCTTTTCCTTCTCACCAGAAGGATTAGTTTGCCCTAGACTGAGTGAAATCTTACACTGGGGAGGCATCAGCATACTTGTCTCCTGAAATCCCAGCACACTTTGTCACGTCGTTGCCCACAAAGTGGCAGAACTACTTGGGACTCTCATGAGACCTTTCACTTTCTTTATACCTTGTTCTCCTTATACCTTACACCTTGGAGAACTTCATGAGAAGAATTTTCCCAGCAGGGCTTGTACATAGTCCACAATCAACGAATAGTTGCAGTTAAAGCACCCTGTGGTCTAGTGAGGAGTCCATAGTTAGTGTAAATGGTCTGTGCACGTGGCTGCTAACCAAAAGGCAGGTCTTCAAGTCTGCCCAGAGGCACCTTGGAAGAAAGCCCTGGTGATCTACTTCCGAAACATCAGCCATTGAAAACTATATGGAGGACAGTTCTACTCTGACACACATAGGGTGTCCATGAGTCAGAACTGACTCTGTAGCAACTGGTTGGTTGGTTGATTGGAGTTGTCTAATTAAGACCTATAACCTTTAATTCAAAATTTAGGTAGGATCCCAGTTCTTTTTTGCTGTAAAGAATACATTATTGTTTCAAGCAGTCTTCTAGACAGGGTGACAGTGTGACCTGGTTTACTTTCCTTTACTTCTTCCTCTGCCACTCAGACCCTCCTAACTGTTTGGTGTTTCGTTTCCCCAGAGTCAGCTTGAGAAAGAGGATCGTGCTCCAGGTGGAGTCCCCATGGAGGTGTGGAGCCTTATCACCAACCTCTAACTGCAGAACTGGGATGTGGAGCTGGAAGTGCCTCCTCTTCTGGGCTGTGCTGGTCACAGCCACACTCTGTACTGCCAGGCCAGCCCCAACCTTGCCTGAACAAGGTAAGGCATGGGGTAAAAGCCATCCCAGACTCTGAGCCTCATAAACGGGGCAGACTGGGACAGGGGTGATGTGGTCACTGGGAAAGCTCCATTCTAGGTGGGGAGAAGGGTTCCTTTCCTGTTGGGTAACTCTGCTGGCTTGGGTCTAGTTATAAATACAACCAAATTCATCAGAGTTTGGGTTCATGAAGGCTGGTGACAGCGATTTGCCAGAGGTGACAGGCTCTGGGGAGGCATTACGCTTTTCTCTTCCTGAGAAAAGAACCTGTAATGGGATCCTTGAACTGGCTCCCTGGCCTCGGTGATGTATAATATAAAATGGGGTTGGGGAATGGGATGGGGAATGAGTTACCTATGAATTTGGATTTAGAATTTGGGTCAGACTACAGGGGATGTTGAGGGATGTGGGAGCTTGATAAAGGCATCTGGTTTGTAGAAAATTATTCCAAAGACATGTGTAAGGGTTGGCAGTCATGGCCAGATGCCTGCCATTTTGCCTTCCTTCGCCATGTCTCGTGGGCCTTATTTGGAGGCCTACTGAGTGGTTTTGGATGTGAACTGTTTGTGGTATTTCCAAGACGCTGAGAATAGAAAGCATTTTGAGGCATGGAAGCTGAGTTGAAAATTTAGAGATGGTATTGGTAACAGGAAGGACCTATCCTGCTGTTCATGGGATTTGCTTGAGTTGTGAAAATACCTCTTGGAGGTTATAGGTACTACATACCTGGCGGCTTTCAAGGGTCTTTGAGAACTTAATATTTGTGCATTTCTACTGCCAGAGGCAATAGAATAAGGAATAATGAATAAAGAAGACTAGAGGAGAATTGATGCTTTTGAATTATGGTGTTGACAAAGGATATTAAATGTACTGTGGACTTCCTGGAAGAATGAACAAATCTATCTTGGAAGAAGTACAGCCAGAATGCTCCTTAGAAGAGAGGATGGCAACACTTTGTCTCACATACTTTGGACCTGTTATCAGGAGGAACCAGTCCCTGAAGAAGGACATAATGTGTGGTAAAGTAGAGGGCCAACAAAAAAGAGGAAGACCTTCAATGAGATGGATTGACACAGTAGCTGTAACAATGGGCTGAAGCATAGCGATGTTTGTGAGGATGGTGAGGACCGAGCAGTGTTTCATTCTGTTGTACACAGGGTCACTGTGAGTCAAAACTGACTCGATAGCACCTAACAATAATAACATTGCCAAAGGTAGTGTGGTTTGCAATTCCTTGACTAGTCACATCGAGAAGGTTGGCAGGCAATGGGTGAAAAGCTCAGGTGTGCACATGGCATGGTGTCTGGGTTTAAAGGGCAATATGTCAGTCTTGGATGGCAGAACCTTATTTAAAAGATGAAGGATGAGTGAGAAAATGTGTTCTCTTGTACGGTGATAGGAAGGAAAGGGTGTGAGACTTTTAGGAGGAAGATGCCGATAGTAGAGTAAGCGGATTAGTGTTTCATTCAATAAATAAGGTAAGACCTGAGCTAGAACATGCTGGAGATTGATAGCAGAGAGATACCATCTCTACCCACCAAACCAAAACCAAACTCAATGCCATGGAGTCAGACCCAACTCATAGCAATCCCTCCTTGGGTTTCCGAGGTGGTATCAGTACGGAAGTAGATTGCCCAACCTTCCCTCCAAGGAGTGGCTCGTGGGTTTGAACCACCAGCCTTCTGGTTAGCAGTCAAATGCTTCAGGTACTACATTACCAGAGCTCCTAACAGGGAGCTTAAAATCGGGTAGGGAAGAAACAAGGACAGGAATAAATAAACGTAGACTGTATTTAAACCGCATAGTGAGGTTATAACAAAATACATTGAAGAGCAGGAACACAGGTCTTGAGGGATAGGAAGAGGAAAGAAAAGGGTATTTCAGGTGAACGATACTGAGTTAGGGCACCGAGGCGCTATGGATAAGGTGTGTGGAGAAGGATTTTCCTGGTGCATACAGGTGTCCCCGGATTATGAACGAGTTCTGTTCCCAAGTCTGACTTTAAGTCAAATTTGTACGTAAATTGGAATTTGTTCCTAAGTCTGTTGTTAAGTCAAATTGTACATAAGTTGGAACAGTTAGGTACAATTTATATGTAATGTCAGTTAATTAAATGTTTGTCTTAGTATATAGTGTACTTTTCTGTGCAAAAAAAAAAAAAATTAAACACTTCCAGGTACACTAAAACATTTTTAACATAATTAGACAGTTATAATAATGTTTTTGTTCTGTTGTACATAGGGTCGGAATCAACTTGACAGCATCTAACAACAACAGTAATGTTTTGATTCATGTCACAAACATGTCATTTTTATGACAAACCATTATATATACCTTGAATTTTTAGTATATTCGGCTTTTAGGAGTTGGTTTATAACTACAGTGTTATGGTCATGGTTATGTGTCAACTTTGCTAGGCCTTGATTTTCAGTAGTTTGGCAGGTTTTATGTAATCATTCTCCCTTTTGTGATCTAATGTGAGCAGCCAATCAGTGAAAAGGGAGTTTCCTTGAGGTGTGGCCTACATCCAGTATATATGAATTTTCTGGCAGAGCTCACCCTCTCTCAATATGCATCTGACTCCTCATCCTCAGACCTCCAGTTTGTGGGATATGAGCCAGCAGCCTACCATCTGACCAGCAGATTTTGGGATTCACCGGCTTCCACGGCCCTGTGAGCCAGCAGCTTGCTGTCTGAACCATGTGAGTTAGGAGACACTTCCCAGCCTGATGCCTCACCCATGGATTGGAGACTTGCCAGCTTCCACAATTGTGTGACCCATTTCTGTGAAATAAATCTCTCTCTGTGTATAGTAGTCCCACCTTACCCACATTTTCACTTTCTGTGGTTTTAGTTACCTGAGAGCCAAAAATGTTAAATGAGTAGTGATGACATCTCATGCCATCCTCCTTCACCCCGCTCAGGATATGAATCATTCCTTTGTCCAACATGTCCATGCAGTATTTGCTGCCTGCCTGTTTTGGTTCTCTAGTGCTGCTATAACAGACATACCACAAGTAGATGGTTTTAACAAACAGTGATTTATTCTCTTACAGTTTAGAAAGCTAGAAGCCCTTGACCTTGGGCTTCAGCTCTGCCCCTTGTTCCCAGCCCACTGAACCTGGAGGCTTCTCTTAACTTAGACAGCTGCTGGCTGCTAAGACTGACAAACCCAAGTAAAATGGCACAGTTCCAAGATGATCAAGCAACATGGCAGGCCACTAGTTCAAGTCCAGAAACAGTCTCAAGATCGGCAAACAATACGGTAGGCCTCTAAGATGAAGTCTTGGCCAAATGCAGGATCCAGATGTGCCAAAAAGTTCAAGACCTTTCTCAAAGCATCATCTTATATGCCGGAAACAGACCACATCCCTAAGGTGGCTACTTAGCTGCTCATAGCAGATTCCACCATGGAGTTGATTACCAGTCTCATCGTGGGCAGTAATTATATCCAGCTGCCCAGCCACTCAAAACCAGGCCCAGCCAAGTTGATATATAACCTTAACTACCACAACATCCATTAATTACTGTTGTTAATCTCTTACTGTGCCTAATTTATAAATCAAACTTTTTATCATAGAAATGTATGTATAGGACAAAACCTAGTGTATATATAGGGTTCAATACTATGCATAGGAGCTCTGGTAGCATAGTGGCTAAAGCACTTGACTGCTAACCAGAAGGCTGGCGGTTCAAACCCACCAGCCACTCCTCGGGAGGAAGGTTGGGCAATCCTACTTCCGTAGTGGTACTGCCTCGGAAACCCAAGGAGGGGTCGCTATGAGTCGGGGCTGACTCGATGGCAAACAACAACAACAACAACTATGCATGGTTTCAGGCATCCACTGAGGGTCTTGGAACATTTCCCCTGTGGATAAGGGGGGATTATTTATATATATTTATATATGAATGCTTCATTGGTTTTGCTTCTCTAGAGAACACAGCCTAAGACATTTGGTACCAAGAAGGGTTCTAGGGGAGCAAAATCTTAAGGATGAGCTTTCTGAATTGGTTTTCAAGTCTGACTAGTCTTAAAGGCACTGCTAATCAGTGGCAGCAGGTGGCAATAGAAATTGGCAAAATATCACCACCAATGATCAAATACAGGTATGCATTTAACATCTATTTGGACAAAATCTGACCACATATATGTCCGTAGTCACATGAGTCGTCATCTTCCCCCCTCCCCCAAAAAGGAAAGTAGCTCCTTTTATTTATTATTTATTTCCTCCTAATGGTTTTAAAGGTGCCAAACCCAGACTCTTGCAGCACTGGAGCATGAATGGGTTAAAGATGAGTGAGGCAGATGATATGCCCTGAGTGTGGACTCTCAGGCTTTGTCTAGTAGGTAGGCAGCGGCAGCAGCAGCAACAGTGGTGGCAGTGGCAGCACTGGGCTGCTCATGCTCCTCAGGCAGATGGAACCATGGGCAGGGCAGGGCATGCTCTGCTCCCTCCACACTTTCTTCTTCTCACTCGACTCCCACTGTCATTGCTGCCATCAGCTCCTTCAGCCTCCGCAAGCATTTTATTGTTGCGGCAGCTGCAGCAGTGATGAAGATGACGAGAAATGGACTCACATAGAGTTTTAATATGGTGTTTGCACAGCATCCACATCATATGATGTCCTATTTCACAGAAAGTATTGTGGATGTTAAGCAACACATACTTATATTTATGAGAGACAAGGCTTTGGGTGACTCCTTATATGTTCTGCGGTTTTGTCAGAATGAATTGCCAAAACTCAAACCCAGAGTTTTATCATAGGAGTGACTGAATTACAATGCCAGTTGAATTCCCAACCTTGAATGGTGTTTGAAGTTAAAGTAAGGGCATTGATTGGGAAGAAATGGGATCCTGAAACTTGAGATAGGGACATATGGGCAGATAATCAGGAAGCTGGGGATATAGAGCCCCTAAATTCCACTTAATCAGTCCTGCCAACAGAATGGGCCCTCTTACTACCATTTGAAAAGATTACTCCAGCTTTGTCTCCTAAGTTA